GCTTTTTTTCTTTTTGCCTCACCAGCCATAAGCTTCACCGCACGTCACTGATCCTTTGTTCACAACAATGTGAAGTCACAGGCTTCTAGATCAGCATCTTTACAATTACACCAAATTGCTCTGTACAGAGAATCTCCATGGATAGAGAAGGTCTACTGCAAACATTCACCTACCAAAATCAAAGAAGTCAGATCTATCATGCTTATCCCTCTCCTCCTTGAAATAATAGAGCAGAATTCCACCAGTTTTTCCATTTCAAGCTCATTTTTCCTATGTTACTATATTTTGAATTAATTTTGCAACTCCAAAATGTATACGCAAAATCCATATGATATCATTAAAAACTATTAGATAAGAATTTGTGTAAACATAATGGAACCTAGAGAAACAGAGTAAAGACATCAAACAAAGAAAATGCATCAGGCAATTTATTTAATAGCTGGTTTCCTTAGTGGCAGTAAATCACAATATGCCAAGCCAAAATAATGGAATCATTTTTTTAAGTACTATACTATAACAACACCAGGGTAAAGATCAAAAATTATTTCCATCAGGGAGTCTCTCCATGACAAAGCATTCATGAAGATTTTTTTTTAAAAAAGCAGAGACATTCTCATAACCTAGAAACAAACATTTCAGCCACACCAAAAGCTGAAACAGCTTGAACCTTACAGCAAATATCTGATTAAAAACTACTATAAAAAGTCATTCTCTCTTATAGCTAAGAGCGTACTCAAAGGTGTTAGAGAGCTGGTTCAATCCACTTTGCACTGCATTGAAACATTGCTCCAAGTTAAACAGTCACAATCAATACAGCTAAAATAGGGGCAGAACTCATATTTTCTTCTCTTGTTTCAACTCATCTTCTAGGTCATTTGAAAAGGAACCTCTTTGCTGAGACCTCTATTGCTGCACTTGTGCATTTTTGCCCAAGCTACTTTATCTGTCTACTACAGAATACTCTCAGTGGAATCAGTGGCAAGGATAAGGCCACACTCTTGATAATAATAGGAATAAGTAATAATCATGACAACAGAAATGGCAATACTGACAATGCAAAAGAAATAGCATATCAAATATCCCAAATAAATTTCCCTTCCCAGATTTAAAATAAAAATGGGATTCGCCTACTTATCTGTTTCTCTTGAATATTCAATGAAACTGGTTGTTGCCTAATTTACATCATACTCCATATAAACATATTGAATATTTATATTGCTATTTAAAAAAAATAGTAGTCTTGTCCCTAAGTGCTACAGGTCATCCTCACTTAGTGACTGCCTCAAACAGTGATCATTCAGTTACAATGATGATGAAAAAGTAATTTTGCAATCAATGCCTGCATTTACAACTCTCACAGCATCTCGTTCTCAGTCATATACAGTTAGTGAGTATGTGTTGTCCTGCGTAAAATTGTAAGCACAATCACAGTCCTGTTATTTTTCTTCACTTAGCAACCACTTCATTTAACTAGTGTGTTGCTGGTCTCAATTGCAGTTGCAAAACAAGTACAGTTGCCGGAACTTATTGTTATGTGTGATTTTGCCTTAGCAATTAAGAGAAAAATGATCAGTGCTTAATAACAGATCAGAAGCAGCAATTAAAGGGCCTATATATATTCTCTTCTAAAAATGCTGTTTATATTACAACATAAATGAGCCACTGGACTGTCAGCTCTTTGAGGAAGTCCAGACAGGAAATTAACTCCCCCCCCCACAAAAAAAAAGCCCATGAGTTTTTTACCTTTTTAACCTACAGTAACTTTACCTTTATTGTTGGGTCAATAACAAAGCCTTACAAGTCTGAGAGCATTTCTTCCCTCCTCTGACTTTACTGTCTGGGAGAGTACCTTTTAAGATCCTTTCTCCATCCCCATTCCTTCTGTGGTCTGTCTCTTAACTGATCATTGCCTGGCTAAGGCTCTTCCACTTGTCTCCCAAGGTTATTCTTACAAACTAACTTGATCTAAAGTCATTTTTGGGGTTCCTAACCTTTTTCCTAAAAAAATTGACCAAAACTTCTAAATTTGTAATGGGTTTTTAACTAATAGCAAACACAGGAATTTTCCAAATGTCACTATTATAAGACAAATATGCATTACTATAAAGACAAATGTTATTACTATAAGACAAATTGCAGGCAAATAGTCAATAGAAATTGACTACTGCTTGCGATTCTTCTTTCTTACCTGCTGAGCTAAGCAATACACTGAAGTCTGTCCCACGCTGAGATTCACCACTGTCATTTTGTGTTTCTTTCTCACTTTCTTCATAGCGGTGCCAGTTGGAGACTAGCTTTCTTCTTGAATAACTTCCCCGGTCTTCTTTGCCCATTTCTGGTAAATCAGGTTCAGCAGTAGCCTATAGCGTATATCAGAAAAATGATTAAATAACTGTGATTAGCTTTTGCTTTTATTTCTTGGAACAAGTTTCCAAGAAAAAGTAAACAGCAGTCTTGTCAATTTTTCAACAATATTTTATATAGTAATATCTTGATTATAAACTCTGCTGCATCAGACTTGGCAATTGGATCAATATTTTGGCTAGGACACAATGCATGATGGCAGAAACTTTCTAATTTCCATTTTTATTTTGTTTTGTTTTTATTTTTACTTCAGAATTGGATGGTAACTATTAGTTTTAATGTTTTAAAAATTAATTATTTTAAATTTTAACATATTAATATTCCTATTTCAGGAAAAAATATTCTGAAAATAGAATTCATCTTATCTCCCTAAGATTTAATATTTACATTATCAGATTTCTATTCAACTACAAAGGATTACAATCATAGCAAACAGGAATAGTTAATCTGTGTTAAACGAATTAGACCTACAAGGCTTCACAGTAAACAAAACTGTTAAAAGTGAGAGATCATTAAAAAGAAGCAGAGCTCCTCATTAAGAAATACTTTTTTTAACATTCAGCATAGTAAGTTACAACAGTGTTCCTCAGCTAAGCTGTATGAAGATGTGTGGGCCTCAACTCGCAGAATATTCCAGCCAACATGTAGAATTTTAGGTGTTGAAATCCATATAATTTAAGGTATATTTAAAACTTTTAGTCATCAACAATCAGATTTTAAAAATTCAGTTATTTCAATGATAACAGGAAAATGTGGCACACATTTGTTTAAAAATATCATTATATGTGACAGACATAACATCCTCCATGCAGCACTTGTGGGTAATCTCATTTAATCTTTTTTAGACATATTGTACTCATCATACTGCTCACCTTCTGGATAAGCAACATAATGCAAAGTATAGAACAGGGATAAGAAATTGTGGGCAAAATATATTAAAGACATGAAATAAGAAAAGAACAAAGGAAACACCATGTTTTAATTTATACTAGCATCATTATACTTCTACTTTTAACGGTCTTCTACTTTTATAGAGATTGGGGGCATCTATGAGGCAGTTTGATGAAGAAGTGATTTAACTACAGTAAAGGGTAGATATCAATGTCCTCTATCGCCAGTTATTTCTCATATTCACAGAAGGAAAGACTAGATGTAGCATGTGCACTAAGGCCAAAATTATTTGGGGCAAGCCCAAAGCCATCATGTACAAACTGCTCCAGCCCTCTCTCCCTAGGGCAAGGTTTGAAATTCCCCAAGGCTGTCCATCCTGGAAGCTCTGACAATATCCAAGTGCTTCTAGAGATTTCTAGACAATTAGTATTCCAGTAGTAATTCTAGCTTATGCCCATTTCCCATTCCATGCACATTTATTTGCACAGGTTTGTCTGATCACAAGTCTCCTATACCATCATAACAACCACTCCTCCCTAACTTTCAATTTGGGAAGTCTGGAAAGGCAAATTTTGACAGGGCTATATTTTTGTTGTTAAACAACCAGGTCTCAGTAATATGTGCCAGTTTAATGCATTTGCCCATTGTAAGGTATAGAGGGCTGTAGACTTATCCTTTACCAAGTGAGTTCCCTGAGCCTACATATGTAGGGCATTTTTTTTAAATATTAAGGGTATTACATTGGAAAGGGACGAGTATAAATTATTTCTGCCTGCTGCTGATATTTTGGCAAATTTTGATCAATATTCTACTTTGCCTAATTTTATAAGGCTGTGTAGTATTTTGGAGATTATTCTGGTTATAGGATAAAATGGAATAAATCTAGTTTGCTTCCCCTGAATCCTAATATATCAGTTCAATATATCAAATCCTATCTCTATGTAAAGAGATAGGATTTGATATTTCTATTGATTATATTAAATATTTCAAGCACTATACACCTAAATATGTTTCCAAATTTGTAGAAATAAATATATTGAAACTTACATTGACTCCTAATATTACAGTTTTTTAAAAGTCCATTTTAGTTCTTCCACTTCAGTGGTAGTCAACCTGGTCCCTACCACCCACTAGTGGGCGTTCCAGCTTTCATGGTGGGCAGTGGGGGTTTGCTGTAACTCTGCGTATAAATTTTATAAAGTAAAGTTACTTCCTTACTTTATATATCACCATTACTGTGGAACTGGTAGGCGGTTATAAAATTTTACTACTAACAGAGATACAAAAGTGGGCGGTAGGTATAAAAAGGTTGACTACCCTTGTTCCACTTACTGTAGAATAATATGAAACTATCACCATCCTCTCAATTCCTACTTTCCTATATACATATTAACAACCTAAATAGCCTAAATGTATTTTCTGACATACTGTATATCTATGCTCCTTTATCCATAATTAAAACCAACACCTTTATCACTTGGCTTATAACCATAAATTCCACTCCACAAGGTGAGAAGTTCATTCAGATGTATTATATCCTTACTTTTTCTCTTAATATCACAAATACAGAAGCACTTATTTTTGTTTCTTTCACATAATTCATTAATTCAAACTTGTTATCATCTCCTCTTTTATATGCCTTGGTCATAATCAGTTATTACCCTGTCACCTATAATGACTTTGGTTAATCAAGGCTTACATATAACTTTTTTTTTTTTAGAATGGCACAGAAGTAGCATACTGGGTTCATGAAGCATTTCCTGCTAATATTAAGAATGTTTTTGCCTAGCATGATACAACCACAACCCAAAACCTGTTTTATCTCAAACACAGTCAAGTTATTCTATGCAAGCTGGGATAACTAAAAATTATCTTGAAGCCAACAAACCATTGCCAATATGTTTCCAAGTACAACGTGCATGCATTACAATAGCAATAGCAGTTAGATACCACTTCACAGGGCTTTACAGCCCTCTCCAGGGTTTTTTGCAGTGTCAGCATATTGCCCCCAACAATCTGGGTCCTCATTTTACTGACCTCGGAAGGATGGAAGATTGAGTCAATCTTGAGTCAGTGAGACTCAAACTGATGAACTGCTGGCAGCCATCAGTCAGCATTCTAAGCATTGCAACAGCTCTTGATATACAATGATACACATTCAGGATGCTAGAGATCTTCCTGATTGGATGCTAGAGATCTTCCTGATTGGATGTGCACACACATACACACCAGTGGTGGGTTGCAGGCGGTACACCCGATTCAGGCGTACCGGAGCCTGCCCGGAACACCGGATACCATTCCGGTACGGTGCTCTGGAGGGCCCACCCGCCCACCTGAGCTCCTTACTGGTCTTTTAAGTCTTCTGCACTTTTGCGCACACGCACTGCACATACAGCACCTGCGTGACGCTCCACTGAGCAGCTGGAGCGTCATGGAGGCTTGTGGAGGCACTAAAACACATGTGCACACTGCACGCATCCATGTGGATGCCGCCGGGCTCGTTCCAACCGTACCAGTTGGAACAGGATCTGGAACCCACCACTGATAGATAGATAGATAGATAGATAGATAGATAGATAGATAGATAGATAGATAGATAGATAG